TGTGTGGTGTGTGTGTGTGTGTGTGTGTGTGTGTGTGTGTGTGTGTGTGTGTGTGTGTGTGTGTGTGTGTGTGTGTGTGTGTGTGTGTGTGTGTGTGTGTGTGTGTGTGTGTGTGTGTGTGTGTGGTGTGTGTGTGTGTGTGTGTGTGTGTAATTACCTAAGTAATTACCTAAGTGTAGTTACAGGATGAGAGCTACGCTCGTGGTGTCCCGTCTTCCCAGCACTCTTTGTCATATAACGCTTTGAAACTACTGACGGTCTTGGCCTCCACCACCTTCTCACTTAACTTGTTCCAACCGTCTACCACTCTATTTGCGAAGGTGAATTTTCTTATATTTCTTCGGCATCTGTGTTTAGCTAGTTTAAATCTATGACCTCTTGTTCTTGAAGTGCCAGGTCTCAGGAATCCTTCCCTGTCGATTTTATCAATTCCTGTTACTATTTTGTACGTAGTGATCATATCACCTCTTTTTCTTCTGTCTTCTAGTTTTGGCATGTTTAATGCTTCCAACCTCTCCTCGTAGCTCTTGCCCTTCAGTTCTGGGAGCCACTTAGTAGCATGTCTTTGCACCTTTTCCAGTTTGTTGATGTGCTTCTTAAGATATGGGCACCACACAACAGCTGCATATTCTAGCTTTGGCCTAACAAAAGTCATGAACAATTTCTTTAGTATATCGCCATCCATGTATTTAAATGCAATTCTGAAGTTAGAAAGCATAGCATAGGCTCCTTGCACAATATTCTTTATGTGGTCCTCAGGTGATAGTTTTCTATCTAGAACCACTCCTAGATCTCTTTCTTTATCAGAATTCTTTAAAGATTTCTCACATAATATATAGGTTGTGTGGGGTCTATGTTCTCCTATTCCACATTCCATAACATGACATTTATTAACATTAAATTCCATTTGCCAAGTGGTGCTCCATATACTTATTTTGTCCAGGTCTTCTTGAAGGGCATGACAGTCATCTAAATTTCTTATCCTTCCTATTATCTTAGCATCATCAGCAAACATGTTCATATAATTCTGTATACCAACTGGTAGATCATTTATGTACACAATAAACATCACTGGTGCAAGAACTGAACCCTGTGGTACTCCACTTGTGACATTTCTCCATTCTGATACATTGCCTCTGATAACTGCCCTCATTTTTCTATCAGTCAGAAAATTTTTCATCCATGATAGAAGCTTACCTGTCACCCCTCCAATATTTTCCAGTTTCCAGAACAACCTCTTATGTGGAACTCTGTCGAAAGCCTTTTTTAGGTCCAGATAGATGCAGTCAACCCAACCATCTCTTTCCTGTAATATCTCTGTGGCTCGATCATAGAAACTGAGTAAATTCGATACACAGGATCTTCCAGATCGAAAACCATACTGTCTGTCTGATATTATATCATTTCTCTCTAGGTGTTCTACCCATTTAGTTTTGATTAGTTTTTCCAATACTTTCACTATTACACTTGTCAATGATACAGGTCTATAATTGAGGGGGTCTTCCCTGCTGCCACTTTTGTAGATTGGAACTATGTTAGCCTGTTTCCACCCGTCTGCTACGATTCCTGTACACAGGGATGCCTGAAAGATCAGGTGAAGTGGAATGCTGAGCTCAGATGCACATTCTCTCAGAACCCATGGTGAAACGCCATCTGGGCCAGCTGCTTTGTTCTTACCGAGCTCCTTGAGCATTTTTTCCACTTCGTCTCTAGACACCTCTATGTGTTCTATGTTGTTCTCTGGAATTCTTATTGTATCTGGTTCCCTAAAGATTTCATTTTGTACAAACACACTTTGGAACTTTTCGTTTAGTGTTTCACACATTTCCTTTTCATCTTCCATGAATCTATTTCCCATTTTCAACCTCTGAATATTATCCTTTACCTGCAATTTTTAATTTTGTGTAATAAAATAAAATAAAATAAAATAAAAATTTTAATTTTAATTTTTAATGTTGTGTGTGTGTGTGTGTATGGGTGTGTGTATGGGTGTGTGTATATATATATGTATGTATATATATGTATGAATATATGTATATATATGTATGTATATATATGTATGTATATATATGTATGTATATATGTATATATATATATATATATATATATATATATATATATATATATATATATATATATATATATATATATATATATATATATATATATGTCGTACCTAGTAGCCATAACGCACTTCTCAGCCTACTATGCAAGGCCCCATTTGCCTAATAAGCCAAGTTTTCATGAATTAATTGTTTTTCGACTACCTAACCTACCTAACCTAACCTAACCTAACTTTTTCGGCTACCTAACCTAACCTAACCTATAAAGATAGGTTAGGTTAGGTTAGGTAGGGTTGGTTAGGTTCGGTCATATATCTACTCTAATTTTATCTCCAATAAAAAAACAATTGACCTCATACATAATGAAATGGGTAGCTTTATCATTTCATAAGAAAAAAATTAGAGAAAATATATTAATTCAGGAAAACTTGGCTTAATAGGCAAATTGGGCCGCGCATAATAGGCTGAGAAGTGAGTTCTGGCTACTAGGTACGACATATATATATATATATATATATGTCGTACCTAGTAGCCAGAACTCACTTCTCAGCCTATTATGCGCGGCCCAATTTGCCTATTAAGCCAAGTTTTCCTGAATTAATATATTTTCTCTAATTTTTTCTTATGAAATGATAAAGCTACCCATTTCATTATGTATGAGGTCAATTGTTTTTTTATTGGAGATAAAATTAGAGTAGATATATGACCGAACCTAACCAACCCTACCTAACCTAACCTAACCTATCTTTATAGGTTAGGTTAGGTTAGGTAGCCGAAAAAGTTAGGTTAGGTTAGGTTAGGTAGGTTAGGTAGTCGAAAAACAATTAATTCATGAAAACTTGGCTTATTAGGCAAATGGGGCCTTGCATAGTAGGCTGAGAAGTGCGTTATGGCTACTAGGTACGACATATATATATATATATATATATATATATATATATATATATATATATATATATATATATATATATGTCGTACCTAGTAGCCAGAACGCACTTCTCAGCCTACTATGCAAGGCCCGATTTGCCTAATAAGCCAAGTTTTCCTGAATTATTATACTTTCTCTAATTTTTTTCTTATGAAATGATAAAACTACTCATTTCATTATGTATGAGGTCAATTTTGTTTTATTGGAATTAAAATTAACGTAGATATATGACCGAACCTAACCAACCCTACCTAACCTAACCTAACCTAACTTTACAGGTTAGGTTAGGTTAGGTAGCAGGAAATGTTAGGTTAGGTTAGGTTAGGTAGGTTAGGTAGTCGAAAAATCATTAATTCATGAAAACTTGGCGTATTAGGCAAATCGGGCCTTGCATAGTAGGCTGAGAAGTGCGTTCTGGCTACTAGGTACGACATATATATATATATATATATATATATATATATATATATATATATATATATATATATATATATATATATATATATATATATATATATATATATATATATATATATATATATATATATATATATATATATATGTCGTACCTAATAGCCAGAACGCACTTCTCAGCCTACTATTCAAGGCCCGATTTGCCTAATAAGCCAAGTTTTCATGAATTAATGTTTTTCGTCTACCTAACCTACCTAACCTAACCTAACCTAGCTTTTTTTGGCTACATAACCTAACCTTACCTATAAATATAGGTTAGGTTAGGTTAGGTAGGGTTGGTTAGGTTCGGTCATATATCTACGTTAATTTTAACTCCAATAAAAAAAATTGACCTCATACATAGAGAAAAGGGTTGCTTTATCATTTCATAAGAAAAAAATTATGGTAAATATATTAATTCAGGAAAACTTGGCTTATTAGGCAAATCGGGCCTTGAATAGTAGGCTGAGAAGTGAGTTCTGGCTACTAGGTACGACATATATATATATATATATATATATATATATATATATATATATATATATATATATATATATATATATATAATATATATATATATATATATAATGTATGAAATCAAATGATGGCACATTTGATTTCATTATTTCATATATATATATATATATATATATATATGAAATCAAATGATGGCACAGTCTTCCCAAGTCTCGATTAAACTCTTTTGTATCTGCATCACTCCTTCCAGGGGTTTTCTTCATGAGATCTTCATGCCTTGCTTTTTCACAAATGATGACCTCTGAAATGCTGTCGCCTGCTAACGCCTTGTTGTGTATCCAAATTAATAACTTTTCAACATCCTCAAGTGTTTGTGTTCTTTGTTTCGTGATTGTTGTTATGCCTTTTGCCACTTTAGCACTTATAATGTCCATTTTCTTAGCAAATACGGTGCATATCATCGACAGATTTGTTGTACTACCTAGCTAGGTCAACAACCCGCATACCATTTTCGTGTTAACGAATGAGCTTGTTTTACCTTTATCGTCATCCTCACATTTGTTTTCTTAGGTTAAACCTTACCATCTGATTTTCCTGGGACCCTTGGCATGATATATAATACTTACTGATATGTTCAGAAACCAAAAAAGCAGAAAAAAAATTATTAAAGAATTCAAGTATGATCGTTACTAGGCGGGAGGCACTGGTAAACTGGAAAATTTGTAAAAAAAAAAATTTTTATGTGAAAAAAAAAATGGGTGCACAGTGTGAGGCTTAAGAAAGCAATTATTAAAATTTCTGTACTCGATTTGATTTTATGTTCTCTTTTACTGTCACGTCAATATGTATTTTCATTGAACTGTACTTTTTTTATATTCTATTCGTGGGCAATAAAATCAACTAATTTCTCATGGTACAATGTTTCTTAATCCTTTCATACAATTGAAATGAAAAGAGGTAGTCTTTCTCAAGTTTGAAAGCCTAACGTGCTCTACACACCCATGAAAGCAATGCATACATTAGCACTACAACTTATAAAGCTCAAAGTTACTTTCATTCCAAGTGAAAACGCGACTCACCTTAGTATCAAAATCGGCAAAGTTGGCAAAGTCTGCAAAACCGTCGTTATTTATGGTGTTGGCAGTCTTGTTGTCTCCCCAACCTCCGACAAAAGGGTCATTGGGGACAGCATTTGAATTCGTATTAGTTTTCGTAGTAGGATTACTAGTGGGATTATTATTAGAGTTAATTTGTGGTGGTGGCGGCTTTACTGGCCGGGTTTTAGGAGGTGCAGGTCTTGGAGGTGGCTGCTTAGATTTCTTGGGTGGAAGAGCTGGAGTAGGACTCTCAGGTCTCGGAGGAGGACCACCACCTGAACTGAATGGCTCACTTCCAAATGGATCATTAGCACCCTAAGTGGGGAAGACAAAGAAGAAATAATGATGCACATTAATATATATATATATATAACAATATTCCTACTACTAACTAGTGATGTTATGCTATACATAACATCACTAGCTAGAAAACTTCTTGCAAAGAAGCAGTACCATATATATGTATACATACAAGCTGACCCCCCAATTATGAACAGCAGTAAGGCGAGTTTTGGATACATTTCTAGCGAGTAGTGAATAATACTAAATTAGACACCCACTACTATTTTTGAGTAGTGAATAATACTCTCAAGAGCCTACCTTTGCTTGTGAGGCAAAGGAATCTCCTCCAAATGGGTCAACTGAAGCTGGTGGATTATTGACAGTAGCTGCTGGATTTTGGTCCCAATTGCCAAACACATCAACCTAAAACACAAATAAAACAAAATTTATTATAACTAAGTGTGCCAGAAAATTACCATATATTTTCTATTTTTGAAAATTGGCAAACAATTTATTTCTTAAACAGTTCATTGGGCTAGCTGGATACACAGAGTAAGCATAACTATATTAACCCTTTTGCAACAGCAACAATTTCACTACCTTAATTTTGTTTGGTCTAACAATGAGCCAAAGTGTTAAACGAAAATAATATACAGTGGCACCTCGATTAATGAGCGGCTCTATCTACGAGCATTTTGAGTAACGAGCGAGCCACTCGCAGAACATTTGTCTCTACTAACGAGCTTTTCCTGATTAACGAGCGTTCCTGCTAATTCTCGGAAACCTTTTACGACAGTTTTTTTGTTGTTTCACAAGACGAGTTTTCCAAATAACGAGCTCGGTGCCAAAACGGATTAAACACTTTAATTGAGGTGCCACTGTACCAGTATTTTAAACACTTTTAGTACGGTACTAAATAAATGAAAACATATCTGCTCTTTCCAGCAGTATCTTTAAAATATAACAAAAAACTATGGGTAACCGAGTGACAATGTCCAAGCCACTTATTATCCACTTATCAGAAACCACTTACTAGGTCCAGCTCTTAATAATACTCATGCAAGCAGAACCACAGAAGCACTCACATTATTTTGTTGTCCACCAAAGGCTGCAGCAAAGGGATCGTGTGCCCCGGAAAATGAGGTATCTTTGGCTTTAGAATTACCTGCAAATGAAATAAAACAATTTACGTTTACGTAAAATAAAAGTTTACATTTATTGATGACGGGAAGTAGAGGCATCACAATATCAGAACCCCAAGTAATTCATCTGCAACAGAGAATACATTATAGACTTTTAGAGCCTAACCAAAGCACTTGGATGTATCTAGAGATAACATATAAAAACTCCTTAGCAATTTAGGTAGACAAAAAACAGTAAAATGAGGTAGTTTCACCTTAGATACTGAAGGAGTGCACTCACTAGCTCAGCAAGCCACTTCAGATTATCACAGAAATTTCAAGATGAGAAATCTTGAAAACATAAGGTAAAATTGCAAATGTAGTTCAAATTTATATAAAACAAAAATTAAAGTTTACTATCATTGACAAGTGTAGCATCCAAACCACTCGAGAAGGTAATTAAAGTCAAATGGGTGGAATACATTCAAGAAAATATCAGTAATAAAGAGGTAGTATGGTTTTTTAACTGGAAGGTCATGCCTTACAAATATACTCGGTTTTATGGTAGGGCCTGACAGCTGAGTGGACAGTGCTTAGGATTCGCAGCCCTGAGGTTCCGGGTTCAATTCCCAGCGGAGGTGGAAACAAATGGGCAGAGTTTCTTTCACCTGAAGCCCTGTTCATCTAGCAGTAAATAGATACCTGGGAGTTAGACAGCTGCTACGGGCTGCTTCCTGGGGGTGTGTAACAAAAAGGAGGCCTGGTCAAGGACCGGGTCACAGGGATGCTAAGCCCCGAAATCATTGAGATAACCTCAAGAAGATAGGGTACCACAGAGATCCTTCAGGAAAGAGACAATGTGCATTTATCCAGAACTTGTAAAAAGTCCCACACAAAAGGCTTTTTAAAAAGTTTGAACACTGAGGAGAGAAGTATGAGTGGAAACACTCGAGGCTTGGTATTCGCACCAATCACGCTCATTGTTTACATAAATGATCTTTCTTAAGTACAAAATTTTTTGAAGCATGTTAAGATATCAGACACTTTAGTTAAGCGAGAAAGTATTGGATGCTAAAATCATCAGTAGTTTCAAAACGTTATGCGCCCGAGTATTGGGAAGACAGGACACCACAAGTACAGTACAGTACTCGCCTAGTTGTGCTTATAGTGGTTGAGTTTTAGCTCTTTGGTTCCACCTTCCAACTGTCACAACTGGTAATTACCAATAGTTACAGGATGAGAGCTATGCTCGTGGTGTCCTGTCTTCCCTGTACTCTTTGTCACATAACGCTTTGAAACTACTGATGGTTTTGGCCTCCACCACCTTATCACTTAACTTGTTCCGTCTACCACTGTTTGCAATAGAAAACATTCTAATATTTTTTCCCCCCTTTTGTTTCCTTAGTTTGAATTTGTGTCATCTTGTTCTTTAAGTTGCTAGTTTCAGCAATTCCTCTTTGTCAATTTCTGTTATTACAGGTATTTTGTAAGTGGTGATCATATCACCACTTTTTCTTCCATTTTCTAGCTTTGGCATATTTAACGCCTCTAGCCTCTCCTCATAATTCTTTGTTTTTTAGTTCTGGAAGCCATTTTGTAGCATGTCTTTGCACCTTTTCCATTCATTGATGTGCTTCTTGAGATATAGGCAAAATACAACTGCTGCATATTCCAATTTTGGTCTCAAGTCATGAACAGTTTCTTTAGTATTTCACCATCCATGTAGTTAAAAGTAAGTCTGAAGTTGGAAAGCATCGCATATATTCCTTGCATATTTTTTGTGTGTGTTGCACAGGTTCCTGAGCCTACTGGGCTCCATCATATCTAAATTTGAAACTGTGTATGGAGTCTGCCTCCATCACCTCACTTCCTAATGCATTCTATTTGTTAACTACTCTGACAATGAAAAAATTCCAATATCCATGTGGTCCATGTGCATTGTTTTGTATGGAATTTCGTTGACATATATTCTTGATTAAGAAATACGTACCCAGTTAACCATAATATTATCATAGGTTATTTACTTCATAATTAATATATATTTTCCCAATATTTAATGTTAATATTTAACTTACCTACTAAGTTTCTACCTCTGTCCCCTTATTCATGTACCACCCATGCTAAACAATTTGACCTTATCTACCCTGTCGACTGCTGAGAATTTTGTAGGTGGTAATCATGTCTTCCCTAGCTCTTCTGTTTCGCAGTGTACCGAGATTTAATTCCAGCAGTCTTTCCTCACAGCTCATACCTCTCCGCTCGGGGACTAGTCTTGTGGTACACCTCTGAACTTTTTCTAACTTCGTTTTGTGTTTGACTAGATATGGACCCCATGCTCGAGCTACATACTCCAGGGCTGGTTTAACTTATGATCTAAACAAGGTTCTGAATGACTTGTTACACAAGTTTCTAAAAGGCAACTCTTATGCTTGCCAGCCTTGTATACACCACTAATGTTGACCAAACCACACACTAGAAAGTGAAGGGACGACGACGTTTCGGTCCGTCCTGGACCATTTACACGTGGAAAATAATTGAGGGGCTGGTCCCAAACCTGCACACAGAAATAACATCACATGAGACCAGAAGACATGGCAGGATGTGCAGAATACCCCCGTTGAAAAGCACAGGTGCAACAGGTACTCTGAGAGAGAACTCTATCAACATCAGAGGCCCGAGACTGTTCAACATGCTTCCACTACACATAAGGGGCATAACTGGCCGACCCCTCACAGTGTTCAAGAGAGAACTGGATAAGCACCTCCAAAGGATACCTGATCAACCAGGCTGTGACTCATACGTCAGGCTGCGAGCAGCCGCGTCTAACAGCCTGGTTGATCAGTCCAGCAACCAGGAGGCCTGGTCGACGACCGGGCCGCAGGGACACTAAGCCCCGGAAGCACCTCAAGGTAACCTTAAGGTAACCTCAAGGTAAGGTAACCATTCTCAAGTCGATTGTGACTTGAGAATAGTCCAGGACGGACCGAAATGCCGTCGTCCCTTCACTTTCTAGTGTGTGGTTTGGTCAACATATTTCAGCTATGTTATTGTGACTCCTCGTCTGCATATGGATCTACACCACTAATGATATCCTTTGTGAAGTGGCCATCAGGGAACAGGTCTGGCGTGATATCAATTCCTCAGATCATTCTCTCTTCCTCATTCCTGAAGGATTTCATCTCCCAATTGGTACCTTATGACTGGCCTCCTGCTCCCTTTACCTATTTTCATTACTTTACACTTACCCAAATTAAACTCTAGTAGCTATTTTTTGGACCATTCCTTTTACTCTGTCAAGGTTAACCATCTTGTAGTCTTTTGCTGTCCTCCTCTGTCTTAATCCTTTTCACAATTTTAGCACCATCAGCAAACATTGAAAGGAATGAGTCTATCATTTATGTACATCAGAATCAGGATAGGTCCAAGAACAGAACTCTGTGGGATGCCACTGGTGACATCACGCCATTAAGAGGACTCGCCCCTCACAGTAACACTGCTTCCTGTTGCTTAGGTACTCCCTTATCCACTGGAGCACCCTACCTGTTACTCCTCCCTGTTTCTCCAACTCATGCAACAGCCCCTTATAGGGTACTGTATTGACCTAGTTGTGCTTGCAGGAGTTGAACTCTGCTCTTTCAGCCCACCTCTCAACTGTCAATAATTTTTTTTTTTTGCAACCCCCCCCCCCACAGGAAGCCTCCTGTAACAGCTGTAACTCCCAGGTACCTATTTACTGTTTGGTAACAGGAGCATTCAGGTGAAAGAGAGACTGCCCATTTGTTTTCCACCATCGCTGGGGATCGAGCCTGGACCCTAGGATTACAAGTCACAAGTGCTGTCCACTCAGCCACTGGCTCTCATCCTGCAACTACACTTGGGTAATTACACAAACACTGACAGCATTCACGAATTGTAGTTCAATGGGTGTAGATTTGATTCTCGGGCAAGGGAGAAACACATGTTCAGTTTCTTCTACCCGATGCCTCTGTTCACCTAGCAAAAAAATAAGTACCCAAGAGTTAAACAGCTGCTTTGGGCTGCACCCAGGGGTATCTGTAGGAGAAATACATGTAGTAGAGAAGATAGAGAAAATTAGGTTGAGAGTTGGTTCATTAGACAGCCAACAGTTTGAAAAGTGGGGCTAGAGATGTAACAGGATGATCCTGCAGGCATGAATAGTAAACACACACACACATACACATGTCAGAATAAGAAAGAAAATTAGACACCCACAACATGACCAAACTAAAGTCAACAACATTAACACAGTAGTAGTAGTAGTAACTTATATGTTGATAAGCATTCACTTCTGCCACTTTTTTTTGACGTCCAGCACCGTACCACTACAGTCCCTAAGTGACTGACTAATGTAAGTTTCTTAGCAACTTGTGGGATGTAAATATTATCCTTTAATACTCACTGACAGTCTCCTGGGAAGGCAATCCATTCTGCTGTGGTGCTTCTGACTCTACGGGCGATTCCTGATGGGGAATGAAGGGTGAATTATTGTTTAAATGGATCTGTCAGCATACTATTGGGCTTAATAGCTACTGTATATCAAACCTCAAAATATATTTTAGCAGCAAAAAATAATTTACAAGTAGAAACCATCTATAATTATACATACAGTACTTTTCTTTATTCACTTTGACGAAACCCTAGAACATGTCACAGACTCTCACATCTAAGACAGTCAAGAATCCAATCCCTAGAGATTAAAAAAATTCTGCATGCACTTAATAAAAGTAATTGAGAATGTAGAATGCTCTTTCCTACTGGGCATCAGACCAAGTGGTGTCAATGAAGCATTAAATCAAACCCTAGGACCAAGTATTTCTACAGCCCACATGGTTTCTACTGACAAGATTAAGAGATGTATTAGGAGAAATTTGTCCAAAAATTATTAGCACCTCAGTATGGGATGCCTTCTCATGGCAGCCTTATTATTATACCATTTCTCATGGAACTGAAGCTGGTATCTCAATGATACCTAGTTGATACCAGGTTGATGGGGTTCTGGGAGTTCTTCTACTCCCCAAGCCCGGCCCGAGGCCAGGCTTGACTAGTGAGAGTTTGGTTTACCAGGCTGTTGCTTGCAGTGGCCCGCAGGCCCACATATACCTGCTTGATGGGGTTCTGGGAGTTCTACTCCCCAAGCCCGGCCCGAGGCCAGGCTTGACTAGTGAGTTTGGTCCACTAGGCTGTTGCTTGCAGCGGCCCGCAGGCCTACATACCCACCACAGCCCGGTTGGTCCGGCACTCCTTGGAGGAAAATCTAGTTTCCTCTTGAAGACGCCCACAGTTGTTCCGGCAATATTTCTTATGCTTATGCTCGTACTATTCATGCTTGCTCTAAATTTACCAAAAAAAAAAAATTCACCTCAGTACAAAAGGATGCAACAAAATTTGCAAGTTCATGCCATTAAATAAAATGCATTATACTGGACTAAGCTAATAAAATGTCTCAAAGTAATTTTATGGTGTTTTGTTTTTGTCCTGGTTTTTAATGAATTTCAGTCATTTCATTTTTAATTGCTTTATTAGTTTTTCTTTTAATGTTGGACAAAGAACCTTATTTTAGCAGGAGGCAGATTCTCTGGTTTCCAGAGAACTATCCTGTTTATACCGAGCAGGAAGACAAGTTGACCCAAATTCCTCCAAGAGAGACTTGGGCATGGTTTACAACAAGTTAAAACATCTACTGACACACCCCTTCTTGGCTGTCGATAGAATGATTGTGAAATTGAGTGAATGAGCCAAAACAAAATCACAACTAACACAAACTTTACAATAAATACAAAATGCCCCACGTCACTTGTTAAAAGCAATTACTTATGTGATTTACAACTCTAAACATCACAAAACTCTTTACAGTAGATCATTAATGATGTTTCCAACTTTACATATTATAATAGTAAAGATGTGTTTATTACACATGTAAAAAAACAATATGAGGAGGACAGAGAAACGAAAAAAAAAAAAAAAAAAAGAGGGGAAGACACATGGGAGTCATTTTGAAAATAATGAGATGCTACCTATCATGACCAAACCACCACACTAGAAGATGAAGAGATAACGACAACGTTTCGGTCCGTCCTGAACCATTAACGATTGATAATCGGCTTGATAATGGTCCAGAACGGACCGAAACGTTATCGTCGCTTCATCTTCTGGTGTGTGGTTTGGTCATCATATCTTCAGCCACGTTATTGTGACTCATTGTCTGCATGATATCTATCACTCTCACAGTCATGCACTAGCTTTTCCATTAAATTTATTACATGCTCACATTACCAGTAATTGTATTCCTCCCATTATTCATTTTATTTACAATGAGAACTAATAAGTTGATTCAATTTGTGAAGTTTATATGTTACTTTGATTTTTAAACAGCGCTGGCCACCACCAAGATGAACCAGCTATCCAGGTGTGTTAATTTACCAGATTAAATGCTAACTCCAAAATGACTGTTCACTCAGATAATAAGTAAGCATTTAAACTTAACCTAACCTGACTAAGAATAACTCACAAGCCTAAACCAGCGATATCAAATAATATACACCTGGACGATACTGGAGGGCCAAGTACCAAATCTACACAGTAAAATAACAACGTACTGGAGTGAACGATATGTAAGAAAATGCAGAATAGAACCAGTGAAGAGCAGGGGTGCCATAGGCACAATCAGAGAACACTGTATAAACTTCAAAGGTCCATGGTTGTTCAACGTCCTCCCAGCGAGCATAAGAAATATTGCCGGAACAACCGTGGACATTTTCAAGAGGAAACTAGATTTATTCCTCCAAGGAGTGCCGGACCAACCGGGCTGTGGTGGGTATGTGGGCCTGCAGACCGCTCCAAGCAACAGCCTAGTGGACCAAACCCTCACAAGTCAAGCCTGGCCTCAGGCCGGGCTTGGGGAGTAGAAGAACTCCCAGAACCCCATCAACCAGGTATAACTAGGGAGGAGAGGGTAGCTGTCCAAGGTTGTAGCCCACAATCACTTGTAACAAGAAGTTATAGATACCTACTAAAGGTGCTACTGGTCAGGCAGGGAAGCTTGAGGCAAGGAAATGTCAAATCAAGCTTCAGACCAGTAGATATATGGCACCCCTCTCTCCGCAGACCAAGTGGGTGGCAGTTGGCATCCGGTCATAGTGTATATGGTGCCTTACACCCATACTTATCAATGTCTAAAAGGACTCTTGAAAAGAAAGTGGGAGTATCTAGCACATGGTTTGGGAGGCTAATCAATATGGCTATTGCAGCACTGTTTTGGGGTTACAGCTTAGGTATGGAGTGACCAACAGAACCAAGGAACCCTGGCCACATATTGGTTGTTGCGGTGTGTAGTTATACAAGGGATTGTTAGAATTAATTATCTTATTTTGTTAATAAATACAAAATATATTTTATCCACTCTCATACCTTCTTTCTATTCCATGTGTGGTAGCCTCAGCCAAATGATACATCTCGGCTAGGTGGCTATAATGACGATACAGATAAATACAGTTTCACATACAGATTTATGTCCTATATACGAGAGGCCATGACCATCTATGGCCAGTGTCCATCCTTATAGTAGTGCTAGTGTGTTCAACACAGCATAGCTCGTTAGTGCAGCATACTCAGAACGACAGTACACCCCAACTGCGCAGTTTATGAGTTAATACCAATAATGTATTACTAGTTTTATCACCGACTACAAATTTGACTAGAAATCGTCTTAAAATCCTTAAAAATGATACGAGTTGTCATAATAGCCACACCATCAGACAGCTTACCTTAGAGCAGATTGTTGGAGATGGACCTATTTGGAGGTAGCTGGGATCCGAGAAAGTAGGAGTAATGTCTCTAATGGATGACTCTGACAGCGATGATGCATCACCAGAGGAAATGGCAGAATCATAAGATGTCAACACCTCAGACATGAGTCGCTCCTGTTCTTGCAGTTCCGTTATCTTTATGCGTGCCTGTAATGCATCATATTGAACTTTTGCCATAAGCCTTTGAGCATGGACTGAATTTGAGCATCAATTCAATTGATGAAATTTCAAGTAAACTTACGACTTATATTAATTCTGGAAACATTGTACACATGTTTAAATTTGAACTATAATAGGAGGCCTAATATAATCTTTATTGGAAGAAATTATTTACGGATTTTTGTAATCTTTATAATAAAATGTTTGAGTTTAAATTGAAAAAATCCATCTTGACTACCTCTTTGTGGTAACCCCATGATCCTGAAAGGCAAAATGAAAATTACCAGATATAATTTACTCCTGGCCTTAAGTTAGAAGTGGTAGAGATGGGATGATTAAAAAACCAGCGTTGAATGTAATGAAATGCCATTTTCTGGGCGAGTCCTGGAGGCTCCCCGGAGCTTACCAGGCTGATATGCTAATGTCAGACTTTGGCATCAGTCATGTGTACGGAGTTCTTATGAGCCTACCAGGGACCACGAGCCAGAACCTGGCCCCCTCAGAGAGGCAAGGGAAGCAATGGCCTATAGAAACCCCCATGTGGTTGGAAGCATTCTATGTCTGCCATTGACTGGGTTAGGCACCCAGAAAGGTAGGCGTCCCAAAACAAACCCCTATTCTGGTGAAAATTGCAACCAAAAGCCGAACGAGTGGATAGAACTCCCCAGACAAAAACGAGGAAACTAGTATGACGTCATTCGTCATCGCGCTACAGGACACAGTACCAAAGACGGCGGCAAGATTCGCGAACTTGCGGACGTCATGGGCACGGAGATAGACCGCAGGCAGGAGAGCCTGAAGAACCCCGCGGACAACCTGGGAGACCCGCACCCTCTAACAGGGAAGAAGGGAACCGGAGCAACCCAAATCGCGTCCACGGACCCAGAAGTCGTAGCATGCCAACCATAGCAGAGAGCCGCAACCGGACAAAAACAAATGCACCCCCGGCTCAACCAACCAAGCATCAACAACCCATGGACCCCTCCGGAAAGCAGCAGTCTCATCCGTCTCCAAAAAAGAAGGAGAAGGCAGCAGACAACCAAACCAAACACCTCAACCGAAGGAGCAGAAAAACTTCTGCGCAGGAGGAGAGCATGAAGCACACCTACCCGACCACCAGAGGCCAAGGCCAACTGGAAAAGAGCCATCAAAAAACAAACCGGAACCGAAGGGGCCACAAGAACCCGAGAAGAAAGAAAAGAGCACTCTGTCCAATTACCAGGACGGCTCAAGTGGCGCAAGAACAGGCCGGAGGTGAAACAAGCATGAGATAGCTTACGAACGGCGCAGAGGAAAATCCGAAAGCAAGCCGAAGCGGCTCCGCCAGCACCGCATAAAACGAGGCGACAGTATGCAGCAAGACGACGGCCCCCAACCCCCAGCAGAAAAGTCACGCCGACGCCAACAAATGCAGCCACCGAAGAAGGGACAGAAGGAAAAGGAAGGACCACCAAAACACCTCATACTGCCGCCAAGAAGCACACAGGTGGGACACCAACAACGAAGCCACCTGACCACCAACGGACGCGGGATCCCCGAGGCAGAACGTAATCAGCACTGCCAAGGGTTACTCGAGCCTAGGAAGAGGCGGAGCCGCAGGAAGATCTCGGGTGCGACCACCAAGGAAGCAGAGCCGGACGCCCAAGCCGGCAAGAAGGAGATGGAATGTCCGCTGAACAGAAAACCATGGAAGCCCCGCCCCGACCCCGATCCCACACACAGTAACGACCCGGATGTAGGGAGGAAAAGGGGGGGGGGTCCAACAAGACCACCAACAACAACGGTGCAGCCTCGGGGCTTCCGGGGAGCAAACAACTAACGCGTTGCAACTGAAACCCATAGTGCAACGCCCGTGCAGCCTGCACCCACATAGTCAGCATAAGACTGGGTAACAGTCACAAACAAGCAACAAAACTTGCAGGACCCCGGGCCGAAGGTGTCACCAACCCCACAGGCTGCAGACGGAGGCAAAAACGTGAGTGTCACCCTGAGACAAGGGGACAGAGCAACCCTCGAACCTGCACAAAGTGAGGGGGGGGGGGGACACCAGGGCCACACCTATCGGGCTCACGCTCCCCCTAGGGGTTTTCCAGGGTCCTGAGCATTTACTATAAGAGAACTCGACACAAAGGGGGAAAGAATCAAAGGCAGAGCTCCCCACCAGGTAGACAAACAAAAAGAAAAAGAAAACCCCGCAAGAGGACAGTGTACCCAGACGGAACAGAGCCGGCCGCTATGATTGGTGAAGACAAGCTGCACAGTACCCTGCGCCCCGCCAGTGCAAAACTGCCCCTTATCCTAAGGCGAACAAGGGAGACAGAACCCCCTATCACACAAAGGGCGGCCGAAACCGAGCAGCAAACGGCCTAGCAGAAGCAGGACCCAAGGAACTTGTGGAAGGTAACCCCAAGCCCCAAGGGCAGTACTTACAGGGCACCTAGGGAAGGGAACCCTAGGTGAATACAGCCCGAGTACTGGAGACACTCCTGGCTCACGCACCACCTAGAAGACAAATACCACACTCTAGGTACAGTGCTGAAACAACTATTGGAGCCGGAGCACACAACCGGTGCCTATAGCATCAGCCAAAGAACTGGGGTGTGGATCGCCAGCGCAGTAGGTCTGAGGCTCCCCCTTACCCCTCCCGGGGAGGGTGGGGGCTGTGCAGACAGCGGCGCGACGACGAATGACATACTAGTTTGCTCGTTTTTGTCTGGGGGAGTTCTATCCACTCGTTTGGCTTTCGGTTGCAATTTTCACCAGAATAGGGGTTTGTTTTGGGACGCCTACCTTTCTGGGTGCCTAACCCGGTCGATGGCAGACATAGAATGCTTCCAACCACACGGGGGTTTCTATAGGCCATTGCTCCCCTTGTCTCTCTGAGGGGGCCAGGTTCTGGCTCGTGGTCCCCGGTAGGCCCATAAGAACTCCATACACATGACTGATGCCAAAGTCTGACATTAGCATATCAGCCTGGTAAGCTCCAGGAAGCCGTAGGGGCTTCCCCCAGAAAAGATTTCTTGCTACATTAAGAGCAAGCTACGAGTAATGATATAAGCAACTGAGAATTGCTTTTTGCTGTGATGAAAGCATGCCAAGTAAGATAGAAACACATGAATAGTTTGAACATGGTGACAATGCAACACCTGGAGAGGGTTTCGGGAGTTCTCCCCGAGCCCAGCCTGGGGGGCCAGGCTCGACCGTCATAAATACAGTACAGTATTACCAAACTAAATGTGGAAATATGGCATTTTGGGGCAGGAACTCTGTTTAATATTTATACTGTGTTGTAATATATACCATGTCAGTCATATGGATGCCTTTCCTAGTTGATTATTGGCCTAATTTTACCATCATGAAGGGGTAGGGGTAGTGGGGGTGTTCGGGGGGGGGGGCCCACTATGTGGATCTGGGATGTCTATGGCCCCTATTTATATTTCTCTTGGTTAATGTGGTGACTAGTACATAATGTTATTGCACAGAAGGCAGCTACAACATGATTGTAGACTTTTAATAGATCTAGATTCATTATATCTATATAAACCTATTATAACCATATTTACATCACTGGTTTACAACCTGAACAGTAATAACAACAATCATCAAATGACGATAACCGCAGTAGCTTAGGTGATTGTGGTGATGAGTGCCTATTGAGAGGTTAAATTCAATTAGTTTACGTAGTTTTCTGGGGGAGAGCGCCCCGGAGTTGCCGGGGAGCCTCTAGGTCTCGCCCAGAAAATGGCGTTTCATTACATTCAACGCTAGGTTTTTTGCATTCTGAACTAAGGAAAATCGGAGTTTGAATAGGAAACAAAGAAATTATCACTGCTAAAAGTATTAGAATCGGTTCTAATTGAAGCATTGAAGCATAACTGGAAATAACAACGACGAATTTCCTGGAAAATGATCGAGAAGAAATTGCGAATCTCACCTCACTTAGTCCTGCTAAAATCATGAACTTTTATACCTGCGATATATGAAGCTGTGTATCTTGCTGTTTACTACTGAGCTCGTCTATCCTTTTTTTCAAAGTAGCAACAGTCTCCTCCAATTGGTTCTCCTGATTCTTGAGGTCTGTCAATTCTTGCCTCTTGGACAAGACTTCTTCTTCTTGAGCCTTCAGACTGGTCTCCTGCTCCTCTACTTGAGCTCGTAGCATGGATACCTAAAATGATGTTCATGGGTTAAAATGAATAACCAATATTCTATGTTTCAAACTGTCTCATAATGAAACATTAAGGTACAGTACTGTAACATGAAACACAGCACACTGGTTTCACAAGCTGCTCAGAATAAAATGCACGACGTAACACTCAAAAAGTTTGATCATGATTTGATTGCACAAACACGGAGTTGCCAAAAGTGAAATACATTATCCGAATGCAGTCCCACATCTCGGGTCTCGGACTCTCAGGGAGTGCTGCATCATTTCTTTCCAATGACGGGTGCTGTGTAGTGTACTTTATCATCAGAGCCATTTTAATCACAAAAAGCTATTCCACAGGGCAAGTCAACCCGAGTGCTTACCTAGTAATGCTAGGATATAGGATGACATCTCTCTCAAGTCAACCTCTTCACTTAACAACTTGGTTATCTAGAGTCAACTTTGGGTATCTAGAGGCAACCTTGGGTATCTAGATTAATCCTCACCCAAGTTATTATAATTTGGTAATATTTACTTTTGAAGCTCTGAAATAGCTATTCTGCCCCCTTTCTTCCTTCAGCCCAGTTCATTTGTACACTATTCACTTGAAAAATACTTTCAGTTCATATTTACAATGACTGAAGCAATGATAAACCAAGATTTAAAGTTTGTTTTGATGACCTGAATTCCTAGGGTCAGATTCACGAAGCAGTTACGCATGCACTTACGAACGTGTACATCTTTCCTCAATCTTTGACGGCTTTGGTTACATTTATTAAACCAGTTTACACACATGAAAACTTGCCAATCAACTGTTGTTATTGTTATAAACAGCCTCCTGGTGCTTCGGAGCTCATTAACTGTTTAATAATTGTAAACAAAGCCACCAAAGATTGAGAAAAGATGTACAGGTTCGTAAGTGCTTGCGTAACTGCTTCATGAAGCTGGCCCCGGGTGCACTACGCCCATCATGAAATGTGCTATGAACCACAGGAATGGCTGCACTCTCCTGCCAACTATACTGGAAAAATATGATATAATACCCTCTGAAAGACAGAGTCGTGAGAACTAAGCACACTAGAACGCTCTCTTTTGCAAACAGAGAGGTAGACGTTTGGGACAAGTTATGCGAGAAGACCTGCTGTAGTTTCAGTCATACGACAGCAATGGGAAGACAGGATGCCACTAGCAGATTTCATCCTGTAACTACACTTAGGTCTTTGCACTTGGGGTCTTAACCCTCAAACCGCTAGGGGCCCAAATGGAATTCACACCCACAGGCGCAACAAAAAAAAAAAATCCAAAAAATTCTTTCGTCTTATAGAAGTGTTCATTTTTGTTCCCTGATCACGGAAAAAATAACAAAAAAATCGTAGGTGGCATATTTTAGCCGCAATAGGGTAGGGAAGTGTGGCAAAAAAGGGGCGTTGGCAGAGCCTTCGCCAGACGAGGTCTACTCCGCCCGAGCTGTCAGACGGCAGTTGCCACAAATATATTATTACCTAATTATTTCAATGTCTCTGATTGATTTTTTCTTAGTTTTTTTGCAGTAATATTATTCCATACAGTGAATTGTGGTATATTTATATTATAAAATGTGTGAACCATCGCTGTACTCAAAATTATGGTGTGCATATTAGTGATTCAATTATTATGTTCATAAAACAATAAACAAATAGTTTTGCTGTTGTTACACTATATACACAGGTTATATATAAGTATTTGCATGTTTTGTACACCATAACGAACTACTAAGTTGGTCTTGTGAGTCAAAAAGCAACGAGGAGTGACCGCCAAACACCAGCGAGCCACTCACTGCCACTCCCTCCCTCAACACCACCTCACTCACCCTCATTCACCTCCCACAATACTCTTTCTGTATTTATTCACTATACACAGACGTTATATATACGTATTTACATGTTTTGTTCACCATAACTGTACATCTAAGCTTGTATGGTGAGTAAAGGCCATAAGACGTAGCTACTCACACAGTCAGCTGATCGGCGGCCGCCCTCAAGGCCAGACGCACTAATATTTGTCCTTCAACAATATTGTTTGTGGTGTTATTACGCTATATACACACATTATATATAAGTATCTACCTGTTTTATTCACCATACCTGAACAAATAAGCTGGTATGGTGCCCAAAGACCATAGTGGCCATCAGTAAACAACATGCCAAGTCGTGCAGACGACGCTCCTCCCTCACCAAAATGGCGGCTCCCAACCTACTCCTCTCGCTGTTATCTCACACTATACACACGTTATATATAAGTATCTACATTTGTGTTCACCATATCGAACCACTAAGCTGGTATGGTGAGTGCAGTCAATAAATGGTGGCCACACACAGTCAGAAAACGACGCCACAACCCTCCCTCCCACAGCCTTACTCCTCCCTCCATGGAGCACAGCGCTAAATATCACCACAATCCTGCTATTATCAGAATCCTGGTCAGTTTTATCACAGTCAGGGGGCTTCAGTAATACTATCACTGCTAAATAATAGCAGTATCATTTATATTATGGTATTTGTAGGCGATGCTGTGGTCACAAGCTGAACAGCGGTGCTGTGAGCTCGTGCTGCGTGCGCCAGCCTTGGTGGCTTGCTCAATACTGACGCTGTAACACCCAAGAATGTTGGCCTGGATTTTTTTTCTAGGTGGCATCTGGCAACTATCGGTCGTGGCTGTACTATAGCTGCCCCTATCCCAGGCGGGGCGTTTAAATTATATCGCTAGACACGAAATCATATATAAATGATGTGCGCGGTTTCGGTTTTGTCACTGATATCATTTATATATGATATGCGCGGTTTGAGGGTTAAGGCCAGTAGAAAATACATTCTCCTCCCAAACAACTATAAACGCTGCCCATTTGGGAGGGAACGGATTAAGAAATTTAAAAACTATGTAATATACTGTACTTCCAACTTACTTACTGTATTTATTTATTAGATACACTGACTAATTAATTTCCCACGCAGTTTAGATTTTGTACTAAGGTTCGTGGGATACTAAAACGAGGCAACAAACATTCTGTAAATCTTATCAATATAAAAAAAAACTTGTGCAAGCATTAAAAAAAATAACCACTAATGAATGCCGCAACAAAATGAATTATTTATAATTAACTCTGATAAAACAAAAATTACTTTCTTGAAAGGTAACATTAATTATCTATAATTCTGTAAGCTAACTTGACAATTTAAATCTTGAACTCAGGGTTTATTTTAAAGAGATATGTCCTTTTAGCTCTCCCAAAGCATGCTGTTCAAGTACATTCAATAATTCCTTAAAAAGCAAAAACTTGCAAACAATTTTCTAATTTATTTGTAATTCCTTTTTATTGACATGAGGAAGAGTTTGAGGCATTAATACCACAAACACCACTTGTGCATATCATCAACGTTCTTACAGTACTGAAGCAAACCATGATTATAACCTCAACTGAAAGAAGGTGCCTCCAGTGGTCACTTGGGATCCCCTCACCGAAAATCAGTGTCGTATGTAATGAAATGCCTCCTTCCCTTGGTGGCTCCCTCAGCTACCCACCTGTTAAGTTCCAAACCTAGATAACCGGACCACAGGAATGCTAAGCCCCTGAAACGCCTCAAGGTAACCACACCAGGCTCTTAAGAGTTACAAGTGCCTACCTGGATTATACCCGGATGAGGTTCTGGGAGGAGTAACAACTCCCCCAAGCCCGGTCCAGGCTCGACTTGTGAAAGCTTAGTCCAACAGGCTGTTGCTTGGAGAGATCCACATATCCACTACAGTCCAGTTGGTCCTTTATTTCTTGCTGAAAACTGTCTAAGTTCTTTCTTGAAGATTTCCACTTTTGTTCCGGTATTATTTCTTATACTGGCTGGGAGGATATTTAACAACCGTGGACCTCTGATATTCATAGAGTGTTCTTTGATTGCACCTATGGCACCTCTACTCTGCATTTCCTTCCATGTCGGTCACTCTAATATATTGGTATTTTACTGTAAAAATTTGGGACTTGGCCCTCCAGTTCTTTCCATGTATACAGTAGAACCTCGAGTAGCGACTGCCTCAAATGGCAACCAATGTGGTAACAAACATCCCGATTGCCGATAATTCATCTCGTTAGGCGACCGCTCTTTTGAATAACGTCAACACCACATGGTGGGATCGTGGGCTGCTTCTCGCACATTCTCGGACGCCTCCGACAATGCAAATAAATTATTTTTCTTTGTTTAAAGACGCTATTGATGCTGGGATGTTGCAAAGCATTGACTTTTTCGTAGAAAAACAAAATGAATTTTTTTAAAGAAAGAACAAATGTCATAAAGGTTCGTTCGGTGTTCGGCAGGTAGGCTGCTCCATGTTTCTTAAATAAAAAATAAATAAATAAAAACCAGTTGAAACAATTTGAAAAATGGACAAATGCCATAAAGGTTCGTTCAGTGTTTGTCGGGTAGGCGGCTCCATTATTGAGAAATAAATGAAAAATACAAAACAAATAGAACACATTTGAAACACATAGAAACATTGTCATAATGGAGCAGACTACCCGACAAACACTGAACGAACCTTTATGGCATTTGTCAGTTTTTCAAATTGTTTCAACTGGTTTTTATTTATTTTTTTTTATTTAAGAAACATGGAGCAGTCTACCTGCCGAACACCGAACGAACTTTTTAGACATGTGTTCTGTTTTTCAAAATTCTTCATTTTTTCATTTTTTTATTTTTTTTAAGTACTGTAACATGGAGCAGCCTACCTGACAAACACTGAACGAACCTTTTGCTGTACAAAAAATAAAAAAAAAATTAAGCAAATTTGAAGAAAGAAAAATGTCATAAAGGTTTGTTCAGTGTATGTAAGGTAGGCGGCTCCATTATTTAAAACATCAAATATCATATTGATGTTTTTCGGTGGTAGAACGGATTATTTCTATTTACATTCTTTTCAATCGGGAACTTCGTTTTGAATGATGTCAATTTCACACGATGACCACGGCGCCGGAACAGATTAAAGTCGTTATTTGAGATTCCACTGTATATTATTTGATAAATCTCTTGTCTTCTTTCTAGAGAATACATTTTGAGAGATTTGAGACAGTCCCAATAATTTAGGTGCTTTGTAGTGTCTGTGTGTGCCGCATGTGTTCACTGTATTCCCTTTACTTCAGCAATCTATCCTGTTTAGGAGGAGGAATTGAGTATCGAGCAATATTCAAGGCGAGAGAGCACCAGTGATTTGAATAGTATGAGCATTGCAATGGAATCCCTGGATTTGAAGATTTTTGTAATCCATCCTATCATTTTTCTGGCTGATGTTATATTGCGTGGTTATGCTCCCTAAATGTTAAGTAGTCAGACATCATTATTCCCAACATTCTTTACATGTTGCTTTCCTACTATGGGCAGATTTTATTGTGCTTTGTACCTTGTAATTTGTTTATGGTCTTCATTTTTACAATACTGAAGTACCTGCAATTTATCACTGTTAAACCATCATCATTTATTATTTTATGCTGCCCATTCAAATACTTTATTATATCAATTTGTAATTTTTCAATGTCTTTTACAGATGTAATTTTCATGCTGATTTGTATCATCTGCAAAAAATGACAAAATGGCAAGCGAGTGCTGCCAACTAGCAGTTGCTTGCTGTTAACAACAATATGCATGAACAAATCAACTAAGAATTGTGTGAAACCCTGGTTTGTGCTACGGAGAAGCTGTGGGATCCTCGTGAGGGCATGAGCACTCCAGGTTGCAATTCTTTTACCATGTCGTGGCGCAGTCGGCTAAGGCGTGTCTGGGATCATCCCGAACGTAGGTTCGAACCCTCAGCAGGCCCTTGTGAATTTGTTCATTTGATATATCACGCTATTGTGATTTGTGTGTGTAAGAATATGCGTGTTCACGTCACGAGTTGTCAATGTTGTCAACGCAGTTGCTTTTATTGTTGTATCCTAACTTTGTGGTGGGTTTTCCTTCAAATTGTTGTGGTGGTCTAGTACCAACAGACTCACTCTTGCCTCTATTAAGGGGGCCAGAGTCTAGTACTGGTTTTCAGTAGGTGTTTGTGAATCTTAAGCGCCTGGTGTAGTAATCCAGATTTGGACCTTACTAGATGGGTGTGTAGAGGAGCTACCAAAGTGGCCCTCCCAGAAAATGCATCAAACTTATTTTTTAGCTGATCAAACTTTGAAAAACTGGTGTACATCTGCTCAAACAGTTGAGATTTGCTATATAACACAGGAACAAATAATTTAGCTACGTAAACTTAGGTTTTCATAATGCTGTTTTAAGCTATCAACCACACACACACACACTGGAGGGGCCTCGTAGCCTGGTGGATAGTGCGCAGGACTCGTAATTCTGTGGCGCGGGTTCGATTCCCGCACGAGGCAGAAACAAATGGGCAAAGTTTCTTTCACCCTAAGTGCCCCTGTTACCTAGCAGTAAATAGGTACCTGGGAGTTAGTCAGCTGTCACGGGCTGCTTCCTGGGGTGTGTGTGTGTGGTGTGGGGGGAAAAAAAAAAAAAAAAAAAAAAAAAAAAAAAAAAAAAAAAAAAAAAAAAAAAAGTTAGTAAACAGTTGATTGACAGTTGAGAGGCGGGCCGAAAGAGCAAAGCTCAACCCCCGCAAAAACACAACTAGTAAACACAACTAGTAAACACACACACACACACACACACACGAATATATTTTAACGCCTCCCTATCCTGTCACAAAGCACCATGTATCCCAATATGTCTCCCCCACCCTATCCCTTGTTCTAAACATGTGATTCCCGACTCTTGGGGGACAGAATACTTGTTTGAGTTATCGAGGTTCCCCAGGCCAACTACTGGCCGTGCCCAAGATATAACCCAAAACAGCTGCCTAAGTGCCAGGTACAGTACTGCTAGGTGAACAGTAATTAGGTGTGGCCAAACATCTCTTTCCGCTTGGGAATCAAACTCGAAATCATTCCGCTATGAACTGGCTGTACCACACTGTGCTACGAGCTATATACTCGGCAAAAAGTGTCACACTAAACAAAGAACCTTTATCATTTTCCAAAACATCTGATTTGTAAACAAAATGTTACATGAAAAGTAGAAACTTCTGGTTTGGCAGATTTTAGCACCTTACTCATATTTTTGTCAATGAAATACATTAAATAGTTGTCATACCAAAACATTCCAAATGATACAACCTAAAACATACCTTGTATGATATATCACAGTACAGTACAGTATTTTTGCACTACATAAAAATATGTGAAAAGATAATAAATGGATTAAAACATTGAAATTCGTGAGAATTTTGGCAAAACAGGAAAGTTAATTAAAAGCCGAGATGAATGAAACACGACTTAACACAGCTTCAAAACGCCAAGGAATTTAACTAATCAGCTTGTATTTGTTAAGAGCACAATAGAGCATCTTCCAAAGATTAAGATCATCTTACAAATGGTGCAATAAATAAGAAATGCCTTTCCTGCTTTACCTCAGTAATATAACAATCCAAAAATGATCTCATTACCTCTTCTTGTTCGGCCTCAATCATGGCTTGGAGGTCATTCCGTTCTCCCTCTAGGATCTTTTTCTGCAGATGTCAACACAACATGGTAAGGTGTATATGCAAGCTTCAAAGTGTTCATGTCAGGGCATCACAGGGACAACTTAAATTTGCCATAACTTGTAACATAATATAAGAAATGTAAACAAAATTAAAGGGTTAAAAAATTAAAACTTTTCAAACAAAGGAAAACCTTAGTCACAGGTCTCATAATATACTTACACAACATGACTGATGCTATACAGTGCTAAAATTTATGAATACGAAGTAGCATATCAATTAAATTACATCATATAAGTGTAGTGTTAGAGAAACTGTTTGATACCGACTTACTTCAAGGCACACAGCAATGTACTTACTGACAAATGTTGAAATATTTGCAGTTCAAAATTAATATTAACAGCTGATTATATTGCAACCCATCCTCCTGTTTAGATAGTACCTATTGTGACGATTGTCAAGTCACGAATTTGTACGTACGTACTTTTTAGATAATAGTATACCGACTAGTAAGGAATTCTTTCAAAATAAATAAAGCTAAAACACAAACTTGTATATTCCTAGGCTTAGCATAGCACACATATATACTATATTAGGCCTCAGTTATCGTGTATTAGGCCTAGGTAGGTTAGGATAGTTTAGTTTGTCAATGCAACAAGTAAAAAATAATTTTCCGGTTTGTCCAAATCTAGGGGCTAGGATCACGAAGGAGTTGTGCAAGTACTTATGAATGTGTACATCATTCCTCAATCTTTGACGGCTTTGGTTACATTTATTGAACAGTTTACAAGCATGAAACTTCTCAATTAACTGTTGTTATTGTTATAAACGGCCTCCTGGTGCTTCGGAGCTCATTAACTGTTTAATAATTGTAAACAAAGCCGCCAAAAATTGAGAAGATGTACAGGTTCGCACGTGCTTGTGCAACTGCTTCGTGGATCTGGCCCCCGATTTCTACTTTCTAATTGCGTTGAATGTCGGTATACTGTATATACTATGGTCCTCATCATTACTACCCAAGTACTACCAAAACAGGAGGATGGGCTGTATATTGAGATACTGTATCAATTAAAAATATTATATTTCAGCTGTCTTCAATTTACCTTTAAGACATTATGCAACTATCTCCTTTCATAATAAAATTAAGAAAAGTAACAGGCTTATAGAAAAAATAATCAAGTGTTCAATGTACGGAAACACTTTTCTGGGTGGCCTCAGTAGGTCCCCAGCGCAGTGGCTAAATTACCACAGAGACCGCCACAAACCCATCACACCAAACAAAGGTGCCAAAAAAGTATTAGAAAGTTTTCTTTGGCAAACAGAGTGGTAGACGGTTGGAACAAGCTAACTGAGAAGGTGGTGGAGGCCAAACTGTCAGTAGTAACAAAGCACCATGTGACAAAGAGTACTGGGAAGATGGCACACCACGAGTGTACCTTACCTTACCTTGAGGTTACCTTGAGGTGCTTCCGGGGCTTAGCGTCCCCGCGGCCCGGTCGTCGACCAGGCCTCCTGGTTGCCGGACTGATCAACCAGGCTGTTGGACCCGGCTGCTTGCAGCCTGACGTACGAGTCACAGCCTGGTTGATCAGGTATCCTTTGGAGGTGCTTATCCAGTTCTCTCTTGAACACTGTGAGGGGTCGGCCAGTTATGCCCCTTATGTGTAGTGGAAGCGTGTTGAACAGTCTCGGACCTCTGATGTTGATAGAGTTCTCTCTCAGAGTACCAGTTGCAGAGTGTAGCTCTCATCCTGTATCTACACTTAGGTAATTACACACACACAGCTAAGTGAGGTGGTGGAGGCCAAAACCGTCAGTAATTTCAAAGTATTATGTGATAAAGAGAACTGGGAAGATGGGACACCATGAGCGTAGCTCTCATCCTGTAACCACACTTGGATAATTACCTCTGGATGCGAGTTGTCTTATCCAACACCAGCACCACAATCTGGTATGCTCATAGAGGCAAGAGGAGCATGGGGGGGATCAGAGATGAACCTCATAACCCATTAAAATTGCCCAGTAAGTACAGGTGAAGCAAAAATTATGTGCCTTGATGAAAAAAGAAATGGAATCACTGGAACTAGAAGCTTGCCCAATGTCAACAAACCAAGCTAGTATCGCAGACCACCACCAGGTGGTCTGCGGCTCAAGTCATCCAAGGGTTGCCACCTCAAGTATTCATTAGACTACATAGAACAAAGAAAAAGTGGGTATAGAGAACTATTAAAGCCATCTAGAGTGGGATGCTTTATTACAATCAATGGTAGATTTCTGGACCGGCCTTTGGTGCACATTCTGGGCAAAATGAAACGGTAAACTTGGCCCCCAGGCTGGGCTCGGGAAGTAGAAGAACGCCCAAAACCCTCTCTAGGTACGCTCTCTGCAGGTAAGAAAACTATCAAAGACAGAGCTGACCAGTGGGGTGCTCAAAGGAAAAATAACTCCAAAAAACAACTGGATTCTCACATAAAACAAATATCTACCTGTTGACTACCTACTAGTTGGCGATTCTGAGTATTCATTTAAGGCCATTTTCTTGCCCTATTTAAGGGTGGAGGCATGTAGGAAGCATGAAACAAACCAACCCAAACAGAATGAACTCTTTTGACAAGATAAACCCAAAGGAAGATCCAGATTTATATGACATTATATAATGGGACAGAATTTGGTAGAATTTGATGCCATAAACTATGGTATCAAATTCTACCTGGTAAAATAGAGGAGACTCCTTTACCATATTACTGGAAACAGAAGAAAAAAAAAGGCAAAAGACAATACTATAAGGTGCAAGAACAGAGGGTAAAAGCCACTCAACGGATTATCTAGAGTTATCTTGAGGTTATCTTGAGACTATTTCAGGGGTTAGCGTCCCCGCGACCCGTTCCTCAACTAGGCCTTTTTATTACACCCCCCCCCCCACATGAAGCAGCCTGCAGCAGCTGTCTACCTCCCAGGTAACTATTTACTGCTAGGTGAACAGGTGCATCAAGGCAAAAGAAACTCTGCCCATTTGTTTCTGCCTCCACCAGGGATAGAACCCGGAACCTCAGGACTACGAATCCCGAGCACTGTCCACTCAGCCGTCAGGCGTCTCCCTGAAGCTACCGTCTCTAGTAGCTCAACGCTCTAAAAAACCTGAAGAGAAAACCAGCAAACTAAAAACTGTTGAAGGCCCCATGGAGCCTGCACCCAATGATCCCAGCAGCAGCGAAATGGACAGAAACGAAAGAAATGGCATAGATCCCGAGTCAAACCCTGCCCAGGGAGAAAAATTACATCAGTACAGTTTAAACACCCACACAAGCCAGTGATGCAGACATGCACCCATGCAGAGTATAATGTATCCTTGTACACAGTAAAATGAAAAGGAAAATTCACAGGCAACAATGCACACCAGATCTTGTCAAGTGACGAGTTGCGTCTTTAGATGACAAGCAAATCTAAAACATGAATCAATTCCGAGCTTTCCAGCATGTTTTGTCTACTCCCAACCAGTTTAGTGAGGAAACTTTACTCTATCCCAACGTATATTCATAACTACCAATTTGTTATAATGCAAGCATAATAGACATTAAATTTCTGATATTGTTTCCGAGTATTGTATAGTACTGTATTCCTAGTCTATTTTAGATATTTAACAGCAAAACAAGATATGTAAAGTTTCATAGAATATTTATCCTTTGGAAAAATTTCTTTACCATTAATTTTATGAATTGAATTTCTCTGCAAAGAAAAAGTACTGCAAAATGTAAGTACTGATAGCTTATTATCATGCTAATGGCATTAAACTGGCGTGCAGAGTTCAGTGGGGGCTTTCCAAAAGTAAATGGCCAAACCATTTAACAGCAGCATGCTCATCTTCAACCTCTAATCAAGTTCTCCCATAGATCATTTCCTAATACACCTGCCAAACACACACCGAAACTACAACGTTGGTACAACGTTCGAACACGTTTTAACACTTCCTAACCAGTATAACAACCAATATAGCAAGTTGTAACAACGTTCTAATATGACATAAACACGTTAAGCCAAGAAGTAACAACTTTATTACAAGTTGTAACAAGGGGAAAATAGAGACAGTTTCAGTGTGTTTCCAGGGCAGTGTACTGTCATTTCTCTACAGTTTCTATATCCAAACTACTGCCATTCCCTTGAAACAGTAGGACAAATTATTTGTTTTACAGTATGATCAATTCTGTTCTAAACTCATCACCTTAAATTAACTTCAGTCTGTCAAAGAAAGTATACCTTTCAAAAATCTTTCTCAGTCCACAAAATGTATTTTTATTAAGTTTCCAATAGTCTTTATACCCATCCAGATATCCTTCCTCAACCCCTACAAAAGAATAATGCAGTATAAAATAAATTTATCACCTTTACTAATATACTGTACTATACTTTTGTTTAGTGCTCAGTACAGTATTTATATATAGTTCTTGACAAGAAACCTTTAAACTAAACTTAACAGGATAAAAAAAGAGAAAGAGCCACCAAGACATCTATTCTCGAGATGATTTCGGGGCTTAGCGTCCCCGCGGCCTGGTCCTCGACCAGGCCTCCTTTTTTGTTACACACCCACAGGAAGCAGCCCGTAGCAACTGTCTAACTACCAGATACCCATTTACTGCTAGGCGAGCAGGTGCATAAGGGTGAAAGAAACTGTCCATTTCTTTCCCCTCCGCCGGGGATCAAACTCGTAACCTCAGGACTACGAATCCGAAGCGCTGTCCACTCAGCTGTCAGGCCCCATAGTTTAGTTCTTGCACTAAACACACATTCTGGAGTAAGAATGGTCAGGCTCACCACAGCATATAATTGTTTATAATAATTTCACATTTGATAGCTTTTTATTATTATATATTACTCCTGTTTACATGTAAACAAAGAAATGACTACTCGATTGTATGGTAAAAAAGCGACCAAATTATTAGTGCTTTAGGTACGTGCAAATTATAATAAGACAGTTTTGACTGTAGAGAACTTAACACTTTGACGCGTTAATGACTGAACCTCTCGTCACTCATATTTCTCCCGATTCCTCTCCAACAATGTGGCGCTGAGTCACTCATTAAAATATTTGTTAAAAATTAAAATTTTATCAGATCAATCTGGTAGTGGTTTTAAAATGAGCGCCTTTAGATTGCGCACAATTTAGCACCCATATGTCACTTGAGCAGGACATTTTTTTCCCTTGAATGCACCTCAAGAGGTGCATTGAAAAAAATATTTCTAAAAAATCCAATTCTTATCAAATCAACTTGGGGATAATTTAAGCATGTTTGCCATTAAATTTTCGTTTTCTCTAATAGTCACATAGCCTATTTGGGAGAACAGAGTTCACTTGTATCTTTGTGGTAAAACTATTGTAAAATGTTGACCCGACGAGTGTAATCGACGAAGTTTCTTTATTTGGTGCCGGTCAAACGCATCCTTGTGTGACATTTTATACATATGTTCTTCTAGAACATTCTATTGCGAACATATTGGTACAAAATTTAAGTACGTACATAGAAAATTAAGGTCAGGACAGTGAAAAGAATATACACTTTTCAAAAGGTGTTTCGCCCATCTGCTGTCGGGTGCCTTAAGAGGTAACACTTCAGCCACTTCCCACACTCTTGCGGGTGGGCCGCGATCATGATTCTACATTTATATGCATATGTCCGTGAAGGGAATTTTATTGCGGTCACAGTGATACCAAAATTAATGATGTAGCACAATTCTGGGATTGACAAACATGAAAAGATCATAAACATTTCAGCGCGGTTTGACACTCATGGCTAACGATTGCCATAGTTTTTTATTTGGTGCGGGTCTCATGTCGGGTTTGGTGACGTTTTACATATATATTCCTCTAGAGCATTCTCTTGCGAACAAATTGATACCAAATTTAAATACATACATGGAATATTAAGGTGAGCAGACCGAAAAGATTATAAACATTTTAGTGTCGCCGCACGGTCGCCCGAAACGAACGGCAAATCTTCTAGATAGTATTCAGTTAACTCCCCGGCGCGCTAAAGTGTTAATGTGCATACAGCAACACGAGTGTCCCACCAAAATTGCCAAAAATTAATGAGCCAGTGAGGACAGTGACACATGAAAACAACTTTTTCAGTGTCAGAGTAGTTAACAGATGGAAATGCATTAGGCAGTAATGTGGTGGAGGCTGACTCCATACACAGATTCAAATGTAGATATGATAAGAACCCAGAAGGTTCGGGAATCTGTACACCAGTTGATCGACAGTTGAGAGGGACCAAAGAGCCAAAGCTCAACCCCCACAAGCACAACTAGGTAATATGAAGCATGGTCCACCCACCACACGAGCGGCCAACCTCTACCTACTCGCTGTTCAAAGCATGTGCATCACGACACAATGTTATGCAAAATCCATGTACCCACCAAGTTGTGCTTGTGGGGGTTGAGCTTCGGCTCTTCGGTTCCGCCCCTCGACTGTCGATCTATGGTGTACAGATTCCTGAGCCTATCAGGCTCTATCATATCTACATTTGAAAATGTGTATGGAGTCTGCCTCTACCACATCATTGCCTAATGTGTACAAGAACATTTACAACCCGATGATTAATATTGCGTCATCAAAAAGCGAGTATGTTTTTGTTTCGATTACTCATATTATGCCAGTAGAAAATAAGTTTCTTAATTCACAACTACTAAAAGCATTGAAATAATTATTTATTTTTGTTTACCCATGTTATATGCACAAAGCATTTTGTTTGTAACTTGTGTATTACATAATGACCAACACACACCTCCCAACAACTATTCTTAACTTCCCCCAGACTGCTCTTACATCTCTACTTTGTTTTAAAACTGTTAATGTTGCTATACAAAAATGTGTGTACCTCTTCAGCTCTCTCTTTGTGATGCCATTGCCAAATAAATACATTACAGTGAAATGTATAATCAAACGAATGTATAATCCATAACTTCAGCCTTTTCAGCAAAAATAATAAAATATAACTAAAAATACATAACGTTCTCAAAATCTTGCGTGAAAGTCTCTCAAAATAAAATTGTCAGACAATGCTGGTTTCATGTAATTCTTGGATAAATATATGCAATAATAAATAGGAAGTAAACATCAGCCATGTTGCGTAAGTCTACGTAAAACAGAAAAAAAGGACGAGTTAAGAGGATTTGTTTAATATCTAGAATGCAGAACAAGGCAATAAGTTATACATGGGCAGAGCTCAATACTCTATTTCTCTAATAATATTGAATATCTAATGCAGCAGAAAAACTTTTAAATGCATGCTTACGAAAAATAATCAAATGCAAATTTCACAAGTCTAATTCCTTATTTAAAACTTGACCTATTTATAAACTATTATATTCTTGAACACAAAAAGGAACAAGGTTTCCAGGGAGCTAGAAATGCATTACGTAGGACTAGCCTATGAATGTGCTTAACTTCAAACAATAAACCAAAGGGTGAGTGCAAAGTGCGAAAGGCCACTGCTACATGTGTGCTGCAATTTGGGCCGAATGTTCATTCACTGCCTATATATATTGCATTCGTTGTAACTAAATTAATTTAAAAGGAGTGCTCGTATAAAGCAAGTGAAAACATAAGATTGATTCTTCAGCACATCTCACCTCGAGCAGCAAGTAAGATGCCACATGCTAGGCCTTACCTGATTGCCAAGGTCATCCAACCTCTGTTGGGCAGCGCCTTTTTGATGCTCTAATTGCCGTAACGTTGAAGTCAGCGTATCTAGTTCAGTCTGGAGGTTACACAAACATTAAAATTTTAATTACGGCAACTGTGTAAAAATTATTGCTCAAAATAAACAAACAAAAATTATTTCAACATTTGAATTTAACATTTTTGGGAAAATATGAACAAGTCATTCTTGAGAGCCTTGTGCATAAAGTACTTAAATATTCATATATTGTATTGTACTGGTACATATCTTATCTCAATGCTGTACACATAATGAAGAAAAAGCTCACCTGTAAATTTTTCAACTCATTATTTTTAACTCTAATGCCCGCTTCCTTCAGCTGAATCTCCGACTCTAATTTGAGTTTGTCAGCATTCAGCTCATCAATCTCATCAGCAACAAGCTGCAGTTCAGGATTATTGTACTGAGGTTTAGCTGGCACTACCTGTAAAAAAAAAAAAAAAAAATCTAATTCTTGACTAATATTCAAGTATGAGCCTGGAAGAACTCTAATAATTGAAACTACTCAAAGTTCGGGTTATGGTGTAATAACGAAAGCTCGGTGACAAACAATGAATTAAATAAAAAAAAAATAGCCTTCACAGCAGCCATACTAAATACTTAAAAGACAAATTGTTCCGAGTATTTAATTATATATTTCTAGTGCTAAATGCTTTCCAGAAACTCCAATTTATTAATATTTAATAAATTTTTTCATCACCATTACCCCGTTTCCCACTTTCATGAGGTGGGGGAGGCATCAGCTTAGACAAAAAAGTGAATACTAAAAGAAAGATATATGTAAACAAATTTAAAGATACATTTGTCCATTAAATAATTCACACTACTGATACATAGCATCACAAACAAGCACCACCATACTCCAGCAGTCATCCACAGTAGCACCGTACCATTTCATAAGATCACGTATACAGGGCTACTTGTTGACCAGACCACACACTTAGAAGGTGAAGGGACGACGACGTTTCGGTCCGTCCCGGACAATCGACTTGAGAATGGTCCAGGATGGACCGAAACATCATCGTCCGTTCACTTTCTAAGTGTGTGGTCGGGTCAACATACTTTAGCCACGTTATTGTGACTCATCGCCTGCAGGGTTACTTGTGAATTACCATCATATGCCGTACTATTCTAACGACTACCAGCACATTCACCCCCTCATTACAGACCATTTCCACTCAGTATTATCCTACAACACATTCCATGGTCATTCACCCCAATTCCCACTTCCTTATACACTCACTCACTATGTTTTTCATGCAGACGAGGAGTCACAATAACATGGCTGAAATATGTTGACCAAACCACACACTAAAAAGTGAAGGGACGACGACATTTCAGTCCTTCCTGGGCTGTTCTCAAGTCGATGATCATTCTCAAGTCAATCGACTTGAGAATGGTCCACGATGGACCGAGACGTCATCGTCCATTCATTTTCTAGTGTGTGGTTTGGTCAACATGTTTTTCATCTTCGCACCACACAACTATCTAGCAACTTTCTTTCCCCAAAGAAAATAGGCCACACACAACCAACAAATTATGTGAAAAAGCTTTAAAGAATTCTGATAAATAGAACTAGGGTGTTTCTAAATAGAAAACGATCACCTGCGTCCCACAAAGAATATTGTGCAAGAAGCCTATGCAATGCCTTCCAATTTCAGAAGTGCTTTTAAATACATGGATGGTGAAATACCAAAGAAATTGGTCAAGATGTTGGTGAGATCAAAGACAGAATATGCAGCAGCTGTATTAAATATCTAAAGCAGCACATCAACAAACTGGATGAAGTTCAAAGACATGCAACTAAATGGCTCCCAGAACTGAAAGACAGAGCTATAAATAAGGAGAGGTTAGAGCCATTAAATATGCCAAAGCTAGAATATTGAAGAAAAAGCAGCAATATGATCACTACGTACAAATAGTAATGGGAACCGACACAATTTATAAATTGGAATTCTCGAGACCTAGAACTTCACGAACAAGAGATCATGGACTTTACACATAGCTGCCAAAAAAATATTTGAAAATTCCCTTTCACAGAGTGGTAGACGGCTGGAACAAAGTGAGTGAGGTGGTAGTGTAGGCCAAAACCATCAGTAGATGGTTATACTTTGTAAGTACTGTAGTATACTTATAAAGTATGACCATCAGTTATACTTTATAAGTGTGTTATATGACAGCGTTGGGACGCTGGGAAGACGGGACACCACAAACACAGCTCATCCTCTAACTATACTCAGGTAATTACCTACACTTTGCTTGCACAAGTTCCTTATTTACCAAATGTCCCAGGTATATAACGAATCAACAAATTCTAGCACCAAATTTCACATTTATTTCACGAACAATTTCCGCTCGCCACCACTACAACTTTACCTTTGTCCACATTAACTTAACAGTCTTTCATCACATGTCAATCAAATTTTCAACTAATTCACACAAATATTTAGCATACTTTCCAAAGAGAACTGTCATCGGCTTGTATCAAATTCAATGTACAGTACTGCAATTATTCCAATTAGGATATACTGCACAATATTTCATATATATATATACTATATAAAAATCATAGCTAAGAGCAAAAATTAACACTAAGGCAAAAATATTAATTCAAATAAATAATGCATTCCTACACTGACACACACATTAACAAACCAAGACGCTGAACAAAAGTATCTCATGTTAGCAACTGTAAAAAAGAAAAAAGGCTGTAACTGCATCATCTCTCCAATCTAACTGTGTGCCAGGAGACGACCTACTCATCACCGGGTGCAGCTACTCATCACTGGGTGCAGCTCACCTACGGCTAGCTTCATCAACCTTATGCTGCCTCTAGGCCTCTACAAAAAAGCATTATGGGGGGCCAATACTCTAGGTTTGAAAACAATAGCATACCTCAACCACTTGGGCCATTAGATCACCTAATAGATCCACCTGTAGTGGATCCCAACGGGAGAGAAAAACAATTAAAATATTTATAGCATTAACTTTCTCCTGTTCAGAATGTTATGTCGTCTTCAAAGTAACAAAAATAATATATACTGTACTGTGTGAATGTATCTATGTGTATAATTTTATTTATATTATATATATTATATATACTGTATAATCTAATCTAATTTATATTTGATATATAAAATATATGTAAATAAAAAGAAATACCTGAAAACCTTAAAATAAGGCTTTAAGGTGTTATGAAAAGCTCCTTTCCGAATTGAATTATTCAGCTGCGTCCTCAATTAAGATCCCCACAGTGTCTTTGGGAATGTAGCGGGTACAGTTAGAAAGTGCAATTAATGCTTAGTACGGCACAGAATTTTTTAAGCTACCCCAGTAAGTATGTCCCTCGAGGATACCCAAGGGGGTTGGCAAAGCCTGATTAGTTGTTTTAACAACTGCAAGATGCAAATCTTAATGTACTGGAGCATTAACTTTCGAGTTTGAGAAGAGCCGGATAAAGTGAAATGTACCCAAGGTGCATATACCAAGCCTTAATAACAGCTGATCCAATGTAAACAAAAAACAAATTGTAATGAAAAGCCTCTTTGTGGTGGACCCTTTGGTGGCTCCTTGCTGCTTGGCTAAGCATTTACCACTTGGCTAAGTGGTAAATGAATATGTAGAAAAAGCTACATATTCATTAAAATACACTGCAGTAGATATGCAGTACTACGGAGAAATAAGAAAAAACGGAAGTTTTGTATGATATAACTAGTGTAGTTTTGGGGGTTTCACTCCACATCTTTTATGATAACAGCTCTATGGCTGTGTTAAGTAAATCAAACCTTGACAAATAAGGCAAATTTAAGTTTTAATTTCTCTATACACATAAGCACTCAACCTGTGCATTAAATTACCATCATATACCGCATGATTAAATTACCCCTGCCCAGTGGAGTAAATATATTATTTCCAGTAACTAAAAATATCAGAATTTCCTTATAAATTGTCAAAGCGTTCTGTCAGATGGAGCATATGTTGAACTTTGTAATGCAACAATATGAAAAAATACAAAGCACACTGAATTGGGAAACTTAAAAATTGAAGAATGTGCTAAAATAACCCAATCTTGAGGTTATCTCGAGATGATTTCGGGGCTTAGCGTCTCCATGGCCCGGTTCCTCGACCAGGTCTCCTTTTTGTTACCCCCCCCTCCCCAGGAAGCAGCCAGTAGCAGCTGTCTAACTCCCAGGTACCTATTTACTGCTAGGTAAACAGGGGGCATCAGGGTGAAAGATACTCTGCTCATTTGTTTCCGTCTCCGCCGGGGATCAAACCCGGAACCTCAGGACTACGAATCCCGAGCGCTATCCACTCAGCTGTTAGGTCCCAAGATGATAATACTGTATCTAATATGTACTACCTAATATATCTAATATATATATATATATATCTAAAATACAATATAATATATCTAATATAATAATATAATACTGTATAATATATCTAATATAAAAAAACATCTAATATGACTTGCAAGCATATGCAATGAATATGTAATATATAATAAATTACCAATTGTTAACCCTTTTACAATAATTTCCAACATCAATATGATGTAAATATCATTAGAAATTTCAAGCCACAGGAAGAGAAGGTGAAGAAACTTACATTCGACTCTGCCGAGGGTTTAGGTCTCATTGTCGGGGGTATCATCTCGGGAGTAAGGGCTGCAGGGGGATCTGAGCCCGCCAGCTTCTGTTGAATGAACCACATGGCCAAAGCAAACTGCTCTGATGTTAACTTTCCAGTCTGCTTCATATCACAGAGATTCCTAAGGGAAGAAATTTTTACCGAGATTAAGAAAACAGACTTCACTCTCACTCACTGAGCTGTGGAAATCTATAAGAAGGCCCTAAAGACAAGTGAATAGTTTAGAAAGTCTACTCTTGCAGTCTTGCTTGATCTGGCACCTTCTGCACGACGCTTTCAGTTCCAGTAACATTTCTTACATTTGCCGGTAGAAAACTGAAGTTCTCAACCTCATGTATCTAAACAAAATTGTGTGACACTATCCCACTGAAAATGAACGGGCAAGGAGTATATCCATTCAAGGACAGGAAGCTCCTTGCTCGTCAACATTCCCCTAACCGAGGGCAAGGTTGTATCCACTCGTTCACCCATCTGGTTATTGACAGTCATGTACAGATCATGTACAGATTTTAATTGCCAATTAATTTAGTCATAGACTAACTACACAGTAAGCAAAGATAAACAATCATATTGCAGGAATGAACAGTATTAAAGTTAACACATTCTAGGATATGAAGTTATCACAAATCAAGCAAGATAGGAAAGTATTTCCATCACCTGACGTAAGTATTTGTGAACCAGTTGGATTGTTAAGATTGGATATAGAAAATCGTTGGAACTTCAACAGATGTACAAATGCTTGTCTCCATATGGCACGAAGCGGTATTTAGCTTGCCAGGCCAATATAACAAAAGCTATAGATGCTTTGAACAAATCCACAAGGGCCATGAGGGCGAAGAGGTAGAACATCTGGTTGACAGAGCCCGGGTGCATGGGGGAATTGTGCAAAGCCCCGGTTTGTGCTTCGGAGAAGCTGCGGGATCCTCATGATGGCAGTAGCATTCCAGGTTGCAATTCTTTTACCATGTCGTGGCACAGTTGACTATGGCGCGTCTGGGATCATCCCGGGCATAGGTTCGAACCCTCATCACAGCCATTGTGGGTTTGTTCATTTGATGTATCACGCTATTGTGGTTTCTGTGTGTACTGTAGATACTTTGTCATGATTGCTTAAGGTTAGGCTATCTTGCAATATCATGCCATCCCTGAAGTTTATATGCCCTTTGTTTTGAGAGTTCTACTCCAAATCCTGGCCTGAAGCAAGGCTTGTCCTGGGGAGAACTTTATCTGAAAGGCTGTTGCTTGCAGCAGCCTGCAGTCCTACATAACCATTACAACCTGGATGACTGGTCTGACACTTTCTGCAGAAACGTGTCCAACTACCATTTTAAAAACCCCCATTTTTGTTACAGCAACATATTGTACATTTGAGACAAGGAGAGTTGACGACCCATGATCCTCCGATATTTACTGTTCTCAGATTGTTTTTATGCATCACTACTGTCCACCGGGTCTATTTTGCACTTCCTACCATACCTTTTGCTCCAATAGGTTATTATATTATGAATATTTGAGACCTGACCTTCTAGTATCTTCCATGTACAGTACATATTATGTGATACCTCTTTTCTCTCCTTTCTATTGAGTACATTTTAAGCGCATTGAGATGGTCCCAGGAATTTAGGTGCTTTACTGTGTGTGCGCGCGTGTGCATGTGTGTGTGTGTGTGTACTCACCTAATTGTGCTTGTGGGGGTTGAGCTTTAGCTCTCTGGTCCCGCCTCTCAAAAGTCAATCAACTGATGTACAGATTCCTGAGCCTACTGGGCTCTATCATATCTACATTTGAAACTGTGTATGGAGTCAGCCTCCACCACATCACTTCCTAGTGCATTCCACTTACTAACTACTCTGACACTGAAAAAGTTCTTTCTAATGTCTCTGTGGCTCATTTGGGTACTCAGCTTCCACCTGTGTCCCCTTGTTCGCGTCCCTCCAGTGTTGAATAGTTCATCCTTGTTTACCCGGTCGATTCCCCTGAGGATTTTGTAGGTTGTGATCATGTCCCCCCCTTACTCTTCTGTCTTCCAGTGTCGTAAGGTGCATTTCCCGCAGCCTTTCCTCATAACTCATGCCTCTTAGTTCTGGGACTAGTCTAGTAGCATACCTTTGGACTTTTTCCAGCTTCGTCTTGGGCTTGACAAGGTACGGGCTCCATGCTGGGGCCGCATACTCCAGGATTGGTCTTACATATGTGGTTATCTTGAGGTTATCTTGAGATGATTTTGGGTTTTTTTTTTTTTAGTGTCCCCGCGGCCCGGTCCTCGACCAGGCCTCCATCCCCAGGAAGCAGCCCGTGACAGCTGACTAACACCCAGGTACCTATTTTACTGCTAGGTAACAGGAGCATAGGGTGAAAGAAACTCTGCCCATTGTTTCTCGCCGGCGCCTGGGATCGAACCCAGGACCACAGGATCACAAATCCAGCGTGCTGTCCGCTCGGCCGACCGGCTCCCCCCCTCCCTCACCGAATTTTGTACACCACCGGTGTACAAGATTCTGAATGATTCCTTACACAGGTTCCTGAACGCCGTTCTAATGTTAGCCAGCCTCGCATATGCCGCAGACGTTATTCTCTTTATGTGGGCTTCAGGAGACAGGTTTGGTGTGATATCAACTCCT